CATGACTAAATAATAACATGTAGCTCTAACCTTGAGATTAATAATAAATAGAAATTAAAAAAAAAGTAGCACGTGTATACATATTGGGTAATATTTATAGTCTAAATTTACATGTCCATTCCAGATTTACTAAATCTTTCAAGAATGGAATGTAAAAAAATTTAATCACAAATGTTTATTAAATTGATTAAATTTTAACTTTGGTGCATGTTGGTTTCGGGGGAGGTGTAGAGGTGGTGCAAGAGGTCGTAGATGTGGTGGTGTGGCAAGGGGTCGAAGAGGTGGTGGTGGTGGTGCAAGGTTTGGGATAGTATTTCTCTTGATAATACTCGATTTCTTCTACCTTCTTAGTGCAGGTAGTTGTTGTAGTGCAAGGGCGTTTATGTTTATGGACTTTGAATTCTTCTTCTTCTTCTTCCTCTTCTTCTTCTTCCTCTTTTACTTTTTTAACTTTATATACCTTTTTATGATGATGATGATGATGTTTCTTTTCCTCCTCCTCATTTTCTACTTCTTCAGGATATTCCTTGTGTGATTTTACGTTATAAGCTTCTTTAACGTAATATTTCTTTACTTCGTAGTGTGGGACTGTCTTTGCTACAACTTTTGGAACACAAGTAGTATATTTCTCTACTTCGAAACTTTCAATGGTTTTGTAGCGAGGAACCTTTCTGTATTTCTTTACGAATTTCTTCTTTGATACTTTTTCTTTTTCGGGTGTCTCTTCCTCATTTTCAACTTCTTTCTTGTGGTGGGGGTGGTGGTGGTAGTGGTGTTTGACATGTTTTTTAGTGCAGGTAGAAACAACGGGCTTCTTGGTGCAAGTTTTCTTTACTTTTTCAATTTCTACTTCAACTGGTTTCTTGGTGCAGGTAACAACGGGCTTCTTGGTGCAAGTTTTCTTTACTTTTTCAATTTCTACTTCAACTGGTTTCTTGGTGCAGGTAACAACGGGCTTCTTGGTGCAAGTTTTCTTTACTTTTTCAATTTCTACTTCAACTGGTTTCTTAGTGCAGGTAGTAACAGCGGGCTTCTTAGTGCAGGTTTTCTTTACTTCTTTTTCAATTTCTACTTTAACATGCTTCTTGGTGCAGGTCTTGTGATGCTTCTTCTTGAAATGTTTTTTCGATTTCTTTACCTCTACTTCTTCAGCCTTTTTAGTACAGGTAGATTTCTTCACGATTTCCTTTTCAACTTCTTTCTTGTGATGGTGGTGGTGGTGGTAGTGGTGTTTGACATGTTTTTTAGTGCAGGTAGAAACAACGGGCTTCTTGGTGCAAGTTTTCTTTACTTTTTCAATTTCTACTTCAGCTGGTTTCTTGGTGCAGGTAGTAACAACGGGCTTCTTGGTGCAAGTTTTCTTTTCTTTTTCAATTTCTACTTCAGCTGGTTTCTTAGTGCAGGTAGTAACAGCTGGTTTCTTAGTGCAAGTTTTCTTTTCTTTTTCAATTTCTACTTTAACATGCTTCTTGGTGCAGGTCTTGTGATGCTTCTTGTGATGTTTCTTGTGGTGCTTCTTGTGGTAGTGATGGTGGACTTCATGTTCTACTTCTGCAACGGGCTTAGTGCAAGTAGTTTTCTTAGTTTCAGCTTCTTCTACTTCAGAGGGCTTTTTATAATGGTGCTTCTTGTGATGGTGATGGTGTTTCTTGTAGTGCTTCTTGTAGTGCTTCTTGTGGTACACCTTGTTTTTTGCTAAACAAGAAGTACAGATTTCTTCTTTTTCTTTTTCATGAGTGCAAGTAGTAGTAGCTACTTTTTCTGGTACTTCAGCGGGCTTTTTAGTACAAGTAGTAACTTTCTTGTCTTTTACTTCT